CCCCCCCCGCCACCCCCTTTTTCAAAATCCTACATTCTCTCATGGGCACTCACCTTCTGGCCCTGAAGAAGCATCAGCACTCCCACCAGCTGTTGCTGCACTTAAGGTCAATCCATTCATATCATCTTGGTTAGCAGATGGCTGCTGGGGGCCCTCTTCTGTCTCTCTTCTCAAACAGGAAGGGAGAAGCCGGCATTTCCAGGTAGATGTTTTTGTCCTTCTTTTTTTATTTAGGGTAGTGGGCCTTTTATCCTTGATGGACACCTTGTGGCTTCTCTTGGTCTTATGAGCTTGAGGAACATTTTCCATTTCTGCTTGGTCTTGGGGCAATCCTCTCTCTGTCTTTACCCCCTTTTCCAGAAGTTGCTCATATTTGCTAGCGGACAATCGCCGTTGGGCAAAGGCCAATACAACCTTGTATTCCATGCTGTCTTGATCTTCATCTTCCAGAGGGATTTCTTCCATGCTGGCATCAGTGGGTGAACTCATCCTTTCCCCTGCAAAGACATTCCTTATTAGTAGCTTAGGGGGCAGACTGCTTTAATTAATACCAAATGGCATCTGGTTAAAATATCAGGGCATTTTTTTTTTTTTTAAAGAATGCAATATTAGACATGTGTGTGACTTAAAGTAATAACAGACCTGTGGAAGAAGCCATCCTGTGGTGGGAATTATTATAGCATATTTCCTCTCCTGTTGCGTTTAAAAGGGTTTTTGATTATCCTAGTTTAGTTCTTCAAAAATTGTTTAGCATAAGAGATGGTTATAATAGACTTTTTTTCTTTAAGACATATTATTGTTCATATATTGATTCAAGTGTACGTTGTGCCTTGCAACTGGAACATTTAATAAGCAGAGTCACATACATGCACACACACTCTGAAAGTACAGTCATGGCATTCACCTCACGCTGGCACACAGGAAAGCTCCCGTGTGGAGGACACCAAGATAACTGTTTCTGAAAATACTAACCAATCAGTTCTCCCACAGCATCTCAGGAAAACAAGGGTGTCAGTTGAGGGCCTCAGCTGCCTGTACACCAATGCCAGGAGCCTGGGGAACAAGAAGGAGGAGCTAGCCCTCCTGCTCTCTAGTGGGCAATATGACCTGGTAGGGATCATGGAGACCTGGTGGTACTCCTTGCATGACTGGAGTGTAGTCATAGAGGGCTACACCCTGCACAGAAGGGACAGAGTAGGGAGAAAAGGCGGAGGGGTAAAGCTCTGAGAGATAGCAGTACACCTCTCTGGAGGCTGACATTGGCTCCAAAGATAAGCAGCTCGAAACCCTCTGGGTCAA